TGCTTGTTCAAAGTAGGGCATTTTCAAACAGATCACTTCCAGCTGATGTGCTACTCTTCTGTATCTGGGAGGTTCTGTTCTGCCTACTAGAGGTACCCTGTCCTTGTCTCCTGAGACTCCACCCTCCCCTAGGGCAAGTGTCAGTAAGCCACCACCTAAGCACCCAAGTGCCAGACTCCCTGATACCCACTTTCATATGTAAAGCATCTTCATTTACATACAGCCAAAGCTTCTGGAACACTATAGTGACAGAGTTGAGTCATCCTGGCAGAGACTGCCCAGCCAGCAAAACAAGCATGTACTATCTGGTCATTTTCAGGAACTGTTTCCAGACTCCCATAAAGTGAAGTTCCATTTAGATGGCTAATTCTACCTCAGCAAGACATCCACACCCTGTCTGGAGACAGAGAAAAAGGAAGAAAAAAAAAAAAAGGCCAAGTCTGGGGAACCCGTGGAACCACTTATATTGTGTGTGCCATGACTCTTCGTCTTTTTCTAACACAAAGGTAAGGAACCAGACATGTGCTGACATACAGGCAAATTCATTTCTAGGTGGCAGTGGCTTTAGTGAACCCCAGGAAAGTGAGCAACTTTAGGATGGTGCTGGTGGGAAGGATAAGCCCCCTCAACAGCTACCTACCTCGCTGGTTTAGATGAACTAGACAGTGAGATTCTTGACATTGAGAAACACTTCAAAAGCAAAAGCTTGCTTTAGAACTTAGCCTGTTCCTCCCAGACTCCTACTTATCTGTAAGACAGCCAGACCTTCGGGGTAGTGATAGTCTTAGGAACAAGCCCTTAGATGCTGACTCTGCAGTCAGTGGCTGAAACGTGGGTGCTCATCGTCGTTCCTGTGCAGGTTCCTCTCCTGCTCTGTGCACCTCCAGAAATCTCTAACAGAAACTACAGGTTCAGTTGCAAATACAGCCTGGACAGCTCCACATTCATCTTAGCAAGCCTGCCCTTAGGTATGTCAGTGAGGACACACACGGGTTTGGCACAGGGCAAGAGGAAGCAAGCCTAGGCCACTGTCTAGTTTTGTATATAAAGCTTTAGAGAATTCATCTATGCTGGTCACCTTTATGTTACTGTAACAACCTGAGACAACTTACGTAGAATAACGGTTTAGGACATTGTGATGGGATCGTGCAACATCGCGTGGAGCAAATGATAGAACAGGTTTGCCTAATTCATGGCCAATAATGAAAAACAACAACAACAAAAAAAATAGATGGGGGGGGGGCTCATGAATCCACTTAAAGGCCACATACATAATGATCTAAAACATTTCAGAAGGCTCTTAAATTTTCTACCTCTTAAAATTTCTACCACCTTTCAAAAGTACCAAGCTGGAGAAGAAGCTTAACCATATGAGCCTCTGGGAGCTCTGCAGATCCAGATCGCAGCAGCAACAGCTGTGTTTGAGCTTCTGCATTTGTCTCTTGTCCTCTTGCTTCCATGCTGAGTGGTGGCAAAAAGAGTTTGTGGCCTAGAAAACCAAATTCTTCCCCACTGGAGAAAAGGCTCGTCAATTCTTGATGACCAGCATTGAAAGGGAGCCTTAGTCCTATTTGAATTTGCATTCTATATGCAATAGCAAATTCCCCTTTTAAGTAGAAACATGAATCTCTTACCCTGTAATAAAAGAACACCCAGTGTGGAGGCCTGAAATTATGAGCTTGGTCCACGTTGACCAAAGGTGGGAGAGTTGGAACTTGTTTCTAGTTCCTTCAAGGTTATTGTGCTCAAAACAAAGGCCCTGCCTAGACATTGACCAGAGGGTTCTGCTCTCTCAAGGTTATTGTCAACTGCTGTGGCTAATTCCCAAATCTTGTGCTCCAGGAACAGAGAAGTAGATTGTTCCTGCCTCAAACAAGAGTCTAAGGATTCAACTAAGTTCCAGTTCCCTTTATGGAGATAACTTGGGATTCCACCCTGGAAGTGGTTTGCCTAGAGGGTTTTGGTCTAGGGTGACTTGTTTTGTTCTAGTAACAGAATAATTAACTATGAATGCAGCTTGCAACTTTCAGTTACTACGCTCATTTCCTTGTATCGTGTTAGTGCAGTCTTTTGTCTTACTCCTACCTTTTGGAGTCAAGGGTATTTTAAGCAGTTGGAAATTAAACACAGGCAAATTTTCAGGACTCATGGAAATTCCCTCCTCATACTATTCCATGTATTTCTATGCTTTATTATTTTTATGCACAACTTCACATTCTTTACTATATTTCTAAATCCCCATGCCTTTACCCTGGCAAGAGGTAATGTTTGTTGAGTCTGGTCCCCGACAACCCAGGTAGTTCAGAAATACTCTAATTAAAAAAAGAAAAATAAGGTTAGCAAGAATGATCTCTTCAGTAAATGGTGTTGTTCCATCTGGATACCTAAATAAAAGTAAAGAAATCTAGACCACACCCTCTATTACCCATAAAATGCCAAAATCATGACTAGATTATTGGTTTAACATATGAAGGTTCCTTTTAATGAAAACAAAAAATAAGCTTCGAGGAAAAATGCATAACTTTGTGATAGTGGAATATGTGAAGATTTTTTAAACAGTCTAAAGACAATGAAAGAATTAAAAATGATGACTTGGTCTATGCTGAAAATAGCTTCTTTCACAAGAGATCACTGAAAGACCCACATCTAAGATTCCAACCTCTGCAAAGGGACAGTCATCAAAACCGTTCAGCAATAACATAAGGGCACACATGCAGTCTCTGTGGTGCTGGGAATCAAGCCCAGGGATTCCTGCATACTGCAGAAGCTCTTCAGCAACCGAGATACACACTTTGTTCTGATTTTTTTCATTCATTCTTTAATAAAATTGAAACAAACCAAGTGGGCAACCATAACAAAAATCCCTTTCCCTTTAGCATGTCTCGGGGAAACGTAGATTCTTAGAAGAATTATCACAATGTCGGTAAGGGAATGAAATGTAAATTCAAACAGGAGAAAAGGGAACCCTATTAAAGAAGGACACTTTGAAGTAGACCCCAGATCTGGGGATCAAAACAAACAACAAACAAACAAAAACAATTCAAGAGTATGCTGCATTTTTTTTTATTTTTATTTTTTAAATTTATTTATTTATTAAGGATTTCTGCCTCGTCCCCGCAACCGCTTCCCATTTCCCTCCCCCTCCCCCGATCAAGTCCCCCTCCCTCATCTGCTCGAAGAGCAATCAGGGTTCCCTGACCTGTGGGAAGCCCAAGGACTGCCCACCTCTATCCAGGTCTCATAAGGTGAGCATCCAAACTGCCTAGGCTCCCACGAAGCCAGTATGTGCAGTAGGATCAAAAACCCACTGCAATTGTTCTTGAATTCTCAGTATTCCTCATTGTCCGCTATGTTCAGCTAGTCCGGATTTATCCCATGCTTTTTCAGACCTAGGCCAGCTGGCCTTGGTGAGTTCCCAGTAGAACATCCCCATTGTCTTAGTGTGTGGGTGCACCCCTCGTGGTCCTGAGTTCCTTGCTCGTGCTCTGTCTCCTTCTGCTCCTGATTTGGACCTTGAGATTTCTGTCCGGTGCTCCCATGTGGGTCTCTGTCTCTGTCTCCTTTTCTCAGATGCTGAGGACACCATAGAGAAAATAAGCTCAAAGCAGTATGCTGCATTTTTAAAAAAAGTATTTAAACTGATACATAAGAGCATAAAACGTGGAAATATATATATTAACATTTAAACCACACTAAAATTTTTTTGTAGTAGAAACTGAAAAATCTTTTCCTTTTATTATTGCTTTTGCCTATAACCACCCCGTGCACTAGGAACCCTTGCTTGGGTCACCCGCTGGGAGGTGTGGTAAAGAGAGAAGAGAGAGGTTGGAAATGGGGGTTCTGGGAGCTGTCCAATGTACCGAGCGCTTCTCCCTGAAATCAAAAAGTCTCCGCTTAGATATTTGGCGCTTGCTGTTTCTTGTGACCTATCTATCACTGAAGTTGTTCTTCAGCGCGTTGTTTGCATCTGTGTGCTTTTACAGATCTCAACCTTGCTTGGTTAACTACAGCCATCAGTAAACAACAACAAAAAAAACTGGAAAATAGAGTTTCTGTAAAAATTCGGGATATACAAAAATCAGTAAAATTTCATTCTTAATGTATCAAATTTACAATCTCTTGCAATTTTGTGGCTAGCCTCCGACTTTCCCTTAAGAAGAATTCAGTAAGGTATAATTCTGCCTTACTGCGGCGTGCAAACGGAAGGGGGGTGGCACAGATCAAAGTGTTGGATTTTTCTTTGTTCAAGAACAAATACTAGACTGGCAATTTAAAAGTTCGAAGACCGACTCCTCTACAGAGGGTGAGAGGGTCTCTGGATTATTGAAGCTAAATCGTGTTTTTGAAAAGAGACTTGCGGGTTCGGGGAGGGAGGGAGGTGGGGACACCACGTGAGCACGGAGCTGCTTTGTCCCCTAAGGAGTAATCATACAGTATACATGCAGCAAATGTTCCGAGTCTCCATTATTTTTATTTCATTATCACCATAACTTTTTCCCTCGAACACAGCCCTCCACTGTAGAGAATAAGGCCAGGGACAGTAAAGTCAAGTATCACAATTGTCAGGCTGATTGTGTCCAAGCCGACTTCAGAAGTCTGGGTCTGTAACCAGGCAGTGAGTTGTTTGCGATGCCCTAGAAACAGAGAAAACACTGGTTCCAACAGAGACACTGGGGAATGCGCCCGGGCCCCCTGGTCATGCTTACTTAAGCTAATGGGAGGTCTTGCCTTTCACCAGCCGCTGCACTGGGATACCAGACAAACAGCTCCCCTCGACCCCTGGCTGGAAGGGCCCCTCTTCTGGACATCATTAAAAGCGCAAGCACTTGCTTCGTATCGATTGGCAAATGGCGGCAAGATTCAGGGCTCCTACCCTGAAGCCAAGGAGAAGCCATCGCAGTGGAAAGATTTGGGCTTTGAAGATCCGAACCGAAATTAAAGACCTACAAGGAATCAGGAACCAAGAGAACCTTGGTTGGATACAGGGGTGAGACCAGACACAAAAAAGCACAGCAGGTAAAAACTGGGGGTTGCTGCCAAGAAGGAACTGCCCTGCGTGGTACTGCAGAGGAAAAATTCTTAGAACCCGAAAGCCTGTTGCCTTGAGCCTTCTATGAGTGATCAAGCTGGTCATCTTCTATCAGTTTCCAGAAAAGCGTCTTTAATTCTCCGCGTTTGGTGAAGATGCACCTGAAGAGTCAAGGCCATTAAGAAGCCCCATCCGCCGCAGGAAAACCAATGGCACAGTCAGTGAGCAATGGCCACCTATCCTGAGAGCTGCCTGGACGCTACCATGCTGAACTTCGTCGCAGATCTCTCTTTGGCCTCTCCGAGACATCCACTCCTCTGCGACTTCCCACCTGGGGTCCCTTTTGGGGACGGAACACTGGGGTTCAGAGAGAGAAGACCCAGGAGGCTGTTGCAATTTGCGGAAACAGATCAGGAGGAAGAAGGAGGCGAAGTGGTCTTTGTGGACCGGGAGGAGGAGGAAGAGGAGGGAGAGGAACGCGAGAGAGTGGCATCCTTGCTGGGCCGCCCCAAAAGGAAAAGGGTCATCACCTACGCTCAGCGCCAGGCGGCCAACATTCGCGAGAGGAAGAGGATGTTCAACCTAAACGAGGCTTTCGATCAGCTGCGCAGGAAAGTGCCCACCTTCGCTTACGAGAAGAGACTGTCTAGGATTGAGACCCTCCGCTTGGCCATTGTCTACATTTCCTTCATGACGGAGCTCCTGCAGAGCAGCGAGAAAAAGGAGGTCCGCTAAGCATGGACGGGAGGGCCGAGGAGGACCACCACTGCCCTGCTCGCCCCTTTCTCGGAGGGGAGCATTTGAAAGGCAGAGGGACCGCTGGTCTTCTGGGCCTGAGTTTGAGATGGTAAAACCCGCACTCGAGGCGGATCGCGCACTAAAGGGTTTCATAGGGTTGCGCTGGGCAAGTTGGGGGTCCCCGCGGTCAAGGCACTAGGGTTTCTGCGTGGAGCGGGCGGCCTTTTCTGAGCTTCCCTAGAGATTCCTCTGCCTTGCTCCTTTCAAAAGTAGAAATAATAAAATAGAACTTATTCTCACGCACGATTCGTTGCTGCCCCATCGCCATCTCAAGTAGGGGCTTTGCTGTGGCCAGTGCGGGTGAGTTCACCTAAAGCCCAGACAGAGTGAGCAGCCCCCCTGCTACTGAAAGCTTTGCTGGGGCTTGGCCCCCTCAGACTATTTAGGGGGAGGGAATGGGCAAAGAGGATGAGCTTAAAGTAGGAGGTAAGGTCACCAGACCAACTCACAAAATGCAACCTCTGAGACGGATCGCTCTCCCTCCCTCATCGTGCCCCCCAACCCCGGGTGCTGTAACCCCAATCTTCCTGTCAGGCGGATCCCTTCTTGTCACGAGGCCGACTGCCTCAGAGTTAAACGCCACCTATTCAGTGAAAACCACCTTTCTGGGGCGGGAGGTGGGGGTGGGGGAGGATTCCTCCGGTCCCATACTCTCAGGGGGCCTCGGGATTAGCACTTCCAACTGTTTCCAAGGGAAAGAGCTGCTACTTCTTAAGGAGACAGGTAACCCTGCGCGCCTAAAACACAGACTTAAATCCTGGATAGGAAAAGTTTCTTTCAGTCTTCAGCCACCTAGGGACTATTGGGAAGGCAAACAGCCAAAAGGAGAGATGCGTTTTAATGTTTTGAAAACGCCTGCAGGTGGAAACTGAAACCTGTTTGTTCTGGGAGGCCACCTTCCCAATCCTCTGTTACTGCTTTTCTTCCTCCTGAATGACCTGGAAGCACCTGAATCTGGGGGTCAGTGAGGAAAGGAACGGAGCTGGAGCACTTGATTGTCAACCCATTCACTCCAATGATAAATCCCAAAGAAGAAATGCCTGGTTTTGCCCATCAGTTATGCACTAGCAAACCCAAGTCCTAGCGAGCTTGTGCAGCGCAATCTTCTGTCATCCTCCAATACTAATAACATGAGAGTATTAGATAAGCTCTTTCTAAAAGACTGCAAAATGTAAATTTAAAAACTTAAACATGAAACGAACATTTAAATAAGCCTCCACTGCTAATGCTACTAGAATCTCCAATCCAGTGCCTTCTGTTCTCTTATTTCCTGTGCAGTTAGAAAGTCAATATATGTAACAAATTTGGAAAATTTTGGAACGTTAATTTTTCTGTTAGAATTATGGAATGGGCACTTCATCCACTTTAAATACTAGAGGGCATTTGAATTGCTGTGTATCACTGCCTTGCCAGTGCATCCCAGCATACTCTCCTTCCTCTACAGATGGCTAGCTCAGCACTTTCTCTTTTTTTTTTTCATAGACGGTTACATTGCAAACAATGTTTGTATCAACGTTTCTCTGTTATAATCACTTTGTGTTAGACACTTACAGTTCCTATGGCACACAAGTGGACTGAATTCCTCCCCAGACGCTGCCAGTTTGCATTCCCTTTCAGCTACACTGCAGGAGCACCTCCTGTCAGCAACCAGAGCATTCTTTCTTTCATAAGGGAGCTTGTCGTTCTTTGAATCGTACATTTAATTCTCTTCTGTTTCCATGGTGGTTATATATGCATCTTAAGAACGCTTACTATACCTTTCTGAGGTTGGTATTGAGGCTCAAGTATTTTCGAGCACTTACATAAACTAAAGCACAAAGCCAGACAAAGCTACAAAATGTCATGAGCCAACTGCACTCACGTTACATTTGAGATGGATACTGGTATCATTAGGAGTTATATGGCATAAAACAGTCTTGAAATGTGTTCCTCTTGCTATATGAATAGGATGGGAAATAGTCTGACAGACAATACAGGTCAGTAAATTATAACGATGTCAATATTATTCTACTTTAGTGGATAATAATTGCTTCATTGTTCTTTTTTCATTTTATTTCAATGCACTCCATATTTTTTAGTTGAATATACTCGAAAGTTATCTTCTGGGCATTCAAGAGTGGTTGAATTAGGCTTGAAAGGCAAGAAATACAGACATGGACATTAATTCACATTTAGAATTACGTCTCATTGCATCTTTCCAGGGATAATGGAGAGGTGCCATGACTTTTGAGTGCCCAGTCTGCCTCCTGAGAGTGAGTTAGAAACCCTGTAAAAGTCCCAAAATAGATTATGTAAATGTAGCATTAATGTGTGGCTAATAACATTGACACTATATTATGAAATATAATTTACTAAATAGTAGTAAATCTCTTTGGAGACAGCATAGCATACTTTGTGTATTTAAATGTAGTTAAGAGGTATTCATGCTTAAATCTTTTAAAACTTTCCTTCTGCTCCTTTTGCTGGGACTAGGTAAGACCTGCAATTGGTGCCTTTTCCCAATACCATTTTAAATATGTCTTCCCCTCAGGATGTTTTCTACCTCTGCCATATGAATGTCAGAATAAACTGAAAAGAGAAAATGTATAAATATCTAAGCCAAACACTAATAAAACCAGGGAGGGTAGTTTTTCTAATGATCTAGAACCTTTATTAAAATGAGCTGAGTCAAAAGACTGAGGGTGTAGCTCAGTGGTAGAGTGCTTGCCTGGAGTATACCAGGCCACAGGCCCTGGGTTCAATCCCCAGCACATCTAAAATGGACTGAGTCTTAAAAATGGCTTTATATCACATTTATAAAGTAATGTTTCAGCTCCTCTTTGTCATGTTTTCATTACCAAGGCTGGTATATGCTGTGTTTTAAGATACTTTTGTAATTTTTCATTTTCATATGTGAAGGGAAAATAGCTAGTTGTTTCTCAAGTCATCAAATGGTATTGCTCATATGATCTATTGGGTCAATAAATACCCACACTATCCAATTATTTATTTGTTTAATCAAATGTTTGCCTTTTACAGATCAGGTGGATGGGTTCAAAATTGAAGAGTCTATAGAATATCTCTTTACTCAGGTACTTCTGGGAAATAAATAACAGTTCAATTTTTTTATATATAAAGTATGAGGCTGGGGAGATGGTGACTAACACTGCCTGTTTTTCAGGAAGTCCGGTTCCATTCCCAGGACCCACATGGTGGTTCACAACTGTAGGTCCAGTTCCAGGGGACCTGACAAGTCTTCTGGTCTCTGAGGACATTGTATGCATGGGATACACAGACATACATTCAAGCCAGAACATCCATGCACATGAAGTAATACAATAAAATAGAGATAAAACTCTACAAGTGTTGAATAAGTAAAAGGAAATACAGAGTTCAAAATTTTACATGCTGTTGGAAAAATATTTTAATTCTGGAGTGAAAATACCCTATGCAGTTTAGCAGCCTTCAGCATCACTGATCTCAATGAGTGTAGTGGTCAACCATCATGCTCGATCATTTCTGCCAACCCAACATTCTCTGCTATGATCATAGCCAGCACATGCTGTTCCTACATGGACTTTCTCTTCAGGAGTAAATGGTCCCAATGAACTTCTACATGGAAATCTAGTTCTCATTATTACTGAAAGAATTACAGCCACCATTACTTAAACTGTTATATCTTACAAGTATTTTGCTCTTTGTAGATTTCAACATGTCCCCCAAAGGCAATGTCTTTTAAAGCATTTTCATAACCACCAAACTAATGATATAGTTTAAACCCTTGTAATGACCACAGACTGAGAAATTGAATTACTTAATCCTAATACCAAATCATCCTTAGGAATAAGGCAAAATTATTCGTAGCCCAACATTAAAAACTATGTGCCACCATGTTTGACTCTAAATATCTAAATATCTAATATCTTATTTTAGTTTTATCTGTGTATAATCTATACTGCCAGTGTACATCAACAAAAACTACCTTAGTATGTCAAAATCACTTTACCTTTTATTATCTACATTAACATCAATGGAATATCATAGGACCTTGGGTTTTAATAACTTCTACCACCTTAAGAGGGCCTAATGGTGTTAGTTCTAAAATGTTACAATAATTGGTTTCTGAATTTTAAAGTTATTTGATCATTTTGAGTCTAAATATCATTTTAGATGTTGCTTGGAGGCAATTTATCCATACACCCTCCACAGACTGAAAACTGACTTCTGGTCTTGAGTTCAGTTCTCCAGGAATATCAGGTTACTCTTAGTATTCAGACATGCAGACCATAAAAAGATCTAGATGAAATCATATTTGAAAGACATAATTAAGCCTTCCAAGAAAAGTAAAAATAATCAGGAGGCTTTCCCACCAACAAAGGAATGCTTAGACTGATCAGCCTTCCTGTTCACTACCCAACTCAAAGGCAGATTCTGGCCAAATTAGCACTGAAAATTAAACCACATATCCAGCTATTGTGCACAGCCTTGCATGAACGTTCAATTAAGACCCTTGCATTGGTGTCTATTATCACATGTGTCAGCGTTTCCATTATGAAAAGTAGTTTATAGAAAGTTAATAAAGAAGTTCTAAAAATACTGAGATTCAATTTAACATGCAAAGTTTTAAGACACCTTTCATAATTCTCGACAGATCTTCAAGAGGAACTTCCAAGTCACGAAGCCAGAGTTACATTACACATAACTTGCTCCAAAATGTACCAACATTTTAAAATGCACTCAAAAATATGAATTAGATCTCACTATTTTACCAAATAGAGGTAACAAAGCCTTAGTAAATGTTAAGTGCTCCACAGACCGTTTGCAGCAGAGACTATTTCGTTAGATAATATTTGATCTGATTCTTTTAGAAAAGTGATTTTTTTTCTATAGATCTGTAGCTTGGCTCACGTTCATTCAGAGTTTCTTGAACTTTGCCAGTAATTTAAGGGAATTCATACCCAAGTCTGGA